GATCTTCAGAACGAGGCTTGGAACACCACGCAGACAGGCACAGTCCAGGAAGACTGAGGCGAGCAAAGTGGGGAGGTGACATGCATCTTTCTGACGACGCCGTCATTTCCGGGAAGATTTCTTAGGAATTAATTCGTTGAAATAAAAGTTTGGTAAGCTCATTTGTCACTTAGAGACGAGAGGAAACCTGGGACCAGTCTCATCTCGTAGTGGCTTGTGGGACCGTTATCGGGGAAAAACAAAAGACAGGAAACCACATTGTCCTTGGTTACAATCCCTTAAGCCACTGCAAGATGGGACTCGCCTCATATTTCTTATAGAGTGTTTTCACATGACGTCACAGCAGCCGTATTGGTGTTCCAAAACAATGAAACGACGGCCATGTTGGTGTACCAAACCAATCCTGTGGGAGTTGAACTCTTTTAAAGTAAACACTTTCTTTTGTTCCAATAAATGTACAGGTGTGCTGGCTACGTGAGTGAAAGCGCTCTATTGTTCTCTAAAGGGGTGAATTATGAACACTTAACCCCAGGGAATCCCAATCAAAGGTAGTGGGGGATCTAGACGAGCTGAAAACAGGTAGAGCGGAGAGGTGACTTTCTGTTGGCTTTTAACATCTATGGGCTTGTCCAGTTATGTTGTTGCTTCACTAGGCAAATGATTTCTGTTTGCTTGCGCGATCATTACATCAACAGCTGGCGCACGGATTTTAACACATACGCTTTTGCTGGGTGCGTGTTTCTTAAATCTAATTCTATTAACAATTAATCATCAATAATAATCCAATCAAGAGTAGATGCGCTGAGTGTGAGATCTCTAACAAAAGAAGACACTGCCCTTGAGACAACGAAATCGGAAAAAAGATACATAAGTAGAAAAGATAAAAAAGAAGCTTTTAAAATATACCTTGGTCCTTGAAAATTATTTTTATTTTCATACAGATGTCAGAGTTCCATGTCTGAGGAAGAAATCTCAAATAGGAAGGTCTTGTATGGAAATTGTAGCTTCTATCAACCATGTAGACCTAAGAGAGAAAAACGGCATAAAGTAATAGTTTATATATTTAATAATTACATTATGAGCTCGAAATTTCGTTTGCGTGATAGTTGACAAGGGCACACCCCGAGCCAGCTATCACTCAAAGAAATCACGAGCTACAAGTAG